TTGGGACCCAAAGAGAGGTCCACATGCTCCTTATCACTGGGAAAGCATCACATCATCTCCTCTGAACTCTCCATACCACTGTTTTGAGTGTACAGTGCATCCTGGACCATTCTATCTTTCCCAGAATGATCAGCAACTACATAATATACCTCGAGAGACTCAGAGAACTAGTGTTACATGCTCACATCACTTCATGCTACTTTTCCTCCTATGGCCACTTGATCTAACCAGGGGCCTTCATGGTTAATCCCCTCTCTAGGTGGGATATGGGAAAATATGTGCAACATCCATCCAAGGATGCTTCAGGTCCCACCAGGGTCTCTTAAGTCTTTAACATTCCACCTCCTACACCTTCACCCTAGTGCCCTGCTGGTGTCTCAGACAGGGGCTACAAGGCTACATTACAGAAGATAAGCCATGTTTGTAACTCACCTCAAGCAATAGGGGGAGTAACTTGGGAGGCTTTGGAGAATTCTCCAGCAGGGGAGCTCCAATGGGTGTGGGGCAGGGCCAGAAGTGGACTTGACCCAGAGGGACAGTGGTCCTGGGACCTGTCGTCGTAGGTCCCTACTGGCCAGGCACACTGGCGAGTGTCCTAAGAGCAAAGATGAGGGACTGTCATTAAGAGAGTAAATTAGGGATGGTTGTGGGGTTCAGTGGACACAGGCCTATGTGCCAGTCCGAGGACTGGAGTGAACTATCCAGATCCTCAGGACCCACATGGGAGGAGAGAAATGATACCCACAAGTTGCCCTCAGACCCATGCCTGTGTGCTACGGTATACCATGGCTGGGTGTACAAGTCACACAATCCATGTGATACAAATACTTTTAATAAAGGCATGTGTATGTTTAATAGGGAATATATTCAGTTGACCAAGTGCCAGTCTCACATGCAGGAAGCCATAGGTTCCCTCATCAGCACCGAAAGCCACGTGATAACTCAGGCCAGTGATCCTGGCTCTCCCAAGGCTGGAGGCAGCTGACAGAGCAATTGAAAGTCCTTCTTGGTGAGACAGTGAGTCCCTACAGTGAGCCATCCGACATATTTTTGTAAAACCATGAAGTGCCATTAGAGGCTCTCCTTCAGAATGTCCACTTACTCTGCTTTGTGTCATTGTTTGCACTTCCCTCTGTGTCTCTTGTAGACCGGACACACACAAATTGGCCTGTGAGCAGGCTCAACATGTCTCTTGCAAATATTTGGAGGGAACCAGGCATCACAAGATGTGGTCCTAGCCTTCCACCTTTTTGAAACAGTGCCTTTTCTCCATTGTGCTCCCCCAGCCTGCTGCCCTATGAATTTCTGGACTCTTTGTATCAGCTCTGCCTCCCAGGTGGCCACAGAAATCCCTTGAGTATGACCTATGCTACTCCCTCAATTTTGTCTGTATTGTTGGGCCTCAAACTCACATCCTCTGCTGGCTGGCAAGGTCTTACCCAATAAGCCATCTCCTCAGCTCCTCCTCCTCCACTGCGGAGGGTCCAGGCCAGCCTGGGAAATCTTATGTTTCCCTGGCTCATCTCTAAACAGTAAATTATCGTGAGCACATGATCTTTGGCCCTCATCCTTGACTTCTGTTTCCTCTTCATTCATCCCTAGTCTTCTCCCTGTGCCTAGCACAGGAAGCACTCCTTATATGAGTCGGGTCTGTGACTGTAGAACCATCTTCCTTCCAAGTCTTCTCCGGTCCCCTCCCAGGAATGTAAGGTCTCTAACATCCACCTCCAGCATCTGCAACTGCAGACTCCTAGAGCTGTCTAGGCATGAGTCGGAGGTGGGGGCCATGGTACAGATGATAATTCAAGTATTCCACTCACCTCAAGAAATAGGGGGGATAGCTTCAGAGATTTGTGGAAATCTCCTCCTGCAAATGAGCTCCAATGGTGGGGGTCCGGTAATGGACTTGACCCAGAGGGTCAGAGGCCCTAGGACCTGATGGCCTAGGTCCTTACTTGCCGGGCGTACCAATGAGCCTCCTAGGAGAAAGATGTAGGACTGTCATCAAGAAAGTATATTTTGGAGAGCCCAACAG